TCCACTTTAATAAAGATTAAAATTTTGGAAAATTAAAAAAATATTCTCCACCAATTCACCTCTTTGGCTTCCACAGCTATTCTGAGACGTCTCCTCATAGCTGGTAAACTAGCTCACTGAGTGATGCCACCAGCTTCTAACATTCAGCTTGTTTTATTTTCATTGTTGTGAAACAAACAGCATTTTTCACATCTTTTAATCTGATTTGATTGTGAAAAAAAAAATTGATATTGGATTTTAAAGCCACAGTTCATCCATATGATTCCACTGTGGAGGAAGAAATCATGAAGATCCCGAAACAAATGGACCTTTTTATTGATCTGAGCTTGTGCGTTGTGTTTCTGTCAGCAGGCAGACCGCAGCCCATCAGTGGACCGGCTTCAGGCGACGTCTCCTCTCCGTGCTCTCAGACTCCTAAGATGAAGGAAAACTCGGCTCCAAGCCCTCCTGGTCTGTCTGTCGACTCTGTGTTTAATGAAAGCTGCATCCAGCGCATCATCGACAGATACACCAGAGAGCTGAACATTTCCCTCGGTGCTGCAGGGACAGCAGGTGCTCATCCTGATTACCGACCAGTCCAGTCAAGTTCTGGATCAGAACATCTCGATCATGAAATGATCTTCTGTTGTTCTGCTGATCTCAGACAGCGAAGGTGCGGCTCTGGAGGAGTCCAGCTCCTCGGTTGCTCAGCAGGCCTCTGTTGGGTCGTCAGGGATGAGGATGGAGGAAGAGAACTCAACCGGTGGTCAGGGTGGCCCGGTGGACGCCGCAGCAGCTTCCAGCCACTTCCAGGTCAGAACCTGTAAACTGATCTTACCAACCAAACTAATCAAGCTCACATGTGATCGGTAACTGGTACCAGTTTAGTCCTGGAATGGGTCTGGTGTCCACACCTTCTGTTTTTTTTCCTGTGTCCAGTTTTCCATCAGAGGCAGTAATGGTTTGTGTTTTCGTAGACGATGACTCCGGGCCTTCCCACCCTGCAGCCTTTCTCTCCTGATGACTCGTCCCTGAATGCGGATCCGGATCAGAACTCCTTCCGACCTTTACGTGTCCACATGGCCGACCAGTCGTCTTGTCTTGCTTCAGAGGAGAGACACTCTGTTCTGGAGCAGCTGGTGGGTCAGCCGTCAGCTCACTCGTCGATGATCGGGCCCCCGCCCGGGCCACCATCCGATCCGAGTGCATGGGACTCTACTCTGAACCGGATGATTGGTCGTCTGACTCAACAGTCCGGCTCTCATTGGCTGAGCCCCGGACAGGACGTCTGTGCTGGACATCAGACATCGGAACCGTTGTGGTTGGATGAGTTTCAGGAAAGCCCGATGAGAGCGCTGGTCAGGGAGCTGGACTATTCAGCTGATCCGCACACTGGAAGCTCAGGTATTATGGTCCAGTTTAGACAGTTTTTCTTCTTTTCTTTTTTTCCTTTCCTCTTAATCTGTTAATTTAAATTACTGAGATTATTGATTTATTCAATTAGTGCTTTAAAAAGCTCAAACTAAGTCCTCCAGTTTGCTTTTAATGCTGCATCTTTAGCAGAACTTGGTTCTGGTTTGACAGAAACCCGTTTCTGTGTGTAGCAGAAAGCAGTTCAGAGGATCATGGAGTTTCCTCTGAATCCAGAGAAACGTCCCAGACGGCGCCTCCTGAAGCTCAAAGCCATTCGGTCCCAAACGCCAGTCATCGGCTTGAGGAGGTGCAGAACGGACCCGATTTTATCGAGCTGGACTCTCACAGGGCTGAAGGTGGGATTGAAAGCTTTTATTTATTTATTATTTCAGAAGTTCCAAAATTCAAAAATTTCAAAAGTTTGATGGGGCGGTAAATTTTGTCCTAAACCAATTTTTTTCATTTCTCTCCGCGCCACTCAGATTCGTTCCACCCGCTGCTGCCAGAAATCACTCACAACGAAACAGCCGACCCCTCCATGACCTTCCAACTACCACAACACAACATGTCGGACACCTCTGACAGGAGCCCAGCTGGTGAAGGGCCCGGTGGGTCCACCTCCTCTGTACGGGGGGATCCCCGTCCTGAGCAGCTCCGAACGGAGGAGCCAAACTACTGCAGAGAATTACAGGAATCCTTCTCCCAGCTGGTCCTCTCAGAGTGTCTCCCACAGGAGTCCATTCACATGATGTCCCCCCATCCGAGGACCGGTTACTCTGTCCCGTCAAACATCAGCACTTTAGAGGCAGGAGCGTCCAAAGAGCACAAAGATTCAGTCCCAGTCGTCGATCATCAGTCAGAGATGAAGGCTGATCCTGATGAGAAGCACAAGCATTTCTCTGCTTCAGAGGCGACTTCAGTAGGTTTCCTTTCCTTTCTGCTCAGATATTTAAAGTCGTAGGGAAGCGGCTGTTCCAACCGCTGCAGTTTAGAATTCTCCCGAGTGATACCCGACTTTACAA